GAAGTGAACCTGAAATGACCTGCTTATACAGACTCCAAAACCTGACCTCTGCTTCTCAAAAAGCCTGTGCCAGTGCCATTTTTAACTGAAGTAAAACAAAGCCACTGCTGAATATTTGTTCCTGAACATTTCCCTTCTAATTCCTTTGGAAATTGGCAGTTGAAATCCCTTTGTTTAACTGAAATCAAAGATAGATTTTATTTTTTGAGAGTCTTTACATCTCTCAATGTATGGAAAATTAGTTTGGTTTTTCTTGAAGCTTCCATTTCTTATGCTTGTTACCTGATCTGTAATATTAATATAAAGTAGATGATCATGTTTCCCTCCCTTACAAAAAAAGCATAAGCATATTCAACAACCTAATTAATCCTAATTAAATAGGAAGTCATGGAACACTTCTCTCAACCAAAATAATTTAGAAATGCCCTTGTGTTGATGGCTTGCAATTTGCAGAATTCATTTTTCAAATGAAAGAGACAGATATATTTTTTTCTGATCTAAAAGGTCTGGATAAATTAAAACTAATTGGTTTTATGTGTCTCTGATAATTGAATGAGATGCACATTAGCCATATTATGATGGACAAAAGAACAATCCTTAATTTTTATAAATGAGAGGCAGCAAATGGCAGCATCTTAAAGTCTCTTAAAGGTTAGAATCAAACAGCAAAACCAAGCTCTGCTCTGTTACAGGAAAGAGTATGCACCAGAGGCCTTTACAGTACCTGCACAAGTAGTGTCACAAACACAAACAGTGTTTCCAATGTAATTCATTCACTGCCAGAACTCGTTGAAATGACACATGAACAAGAAAATCTCAATTCTCACTTTCCAGTCTTAACATATTCTTGTGTGTACAGCCAAACTACATTAGCAGAAGTAAATGGCACTTCACATGGTTTCAACAACTTGACTACTTGGATGACTGCCACTTTATATTAAAAAAACCCCAGACATACAGTTAGACATTATCAGGCAAACGGCAGTCAAAGTATTTCAGGGACTCCCAGGTAAGTGCTTTAGAAATAAGCACTCAACTGAAGTTGACAGCTGTTGAGTTTGTCTGGACTTCGAGACTGAGGCACATTATTTTTACACTGTAAATTTGCTCATTAATGGTCATGGCAACATGACTGTTCCATATGAAGCAACTACATAGATGCATGGCAGAACCTGGCACAACAGCACAGTACCCAGGATGGATAGTGTCAGTCTGATGCCACCTTACCAGCAATTCCATGACCTTCCCTGAAATGCACTAAGATACCTGGTGAAATACAAGGGGAACACAAGTCTTGGAATTATAGCACTTCAGAATAACACAAATTTCACATGATTCCTTTATCACTATGCCACATATTTCTCTCCTGGCAAGGTGAAGGAAGAATCAATATTTAAAACAAGATACAGAAACTGATTTTAAAATATTTGGCAACTTGCTACCAGCTAGATTTACCTCTAGAAGTCATCCACAGGTGCCAGGCAATCTGGCAGGTCCACTGGCAAGTATGAGGCAGGAGTCCTGATGGACTCTTTTTTGATAGAAGCTCCACTTGATGTGTCATCAGTTTGGGGTATAAGAAAAAAAAGAAATACTGGCTGGTAGGAAAGATTTCTGTAATGAACTAGGGCTAGTACATTTCAAATTGTTAATACACAGGTAGAGTGTCCCCATAAGAAATGGGCAGATGATCCCTGTGAAGCACAAACATTGCTCTGAGCACCCAGAAACATCTGATTACTGCCACATGCTAATCCTGCATAGATCAGTAGCACTCTGATATGTAAAATACACAAGTACATTGCTCTTGCTACAGGTCATAAAGCTTGACAATGGATAGAAAAGATTTCCTAGTTTTCCATCCTTCCCAAATTATTCCATTCCCTGGCACTTAGCATGTTTGTAACAAGTCTCTAAGCAGACAAGTGGTGGAGTCAAATTTTTCCGAGGTCTCACATTAAACTCTTAACGGAAAAATCATGGGAAGAAAACCAGCCAAGAGCCCTAAACCACAGCAGTTGGGATACCAAATATTTAAACACCACACACAAAAACAATGCCTCATGTATTTTCTTCAGTTGAAATGACAGAAAGGAAACATTTTCTCACAAGATAACAAAGAAGGCCTTAAAACCTCTCTACTAATCCACTGCAATCCTTGCCAGGTTCACCCATTCTTGTACTCTTCTAGAACCACCAAAACCAGTAAGCCCACTTGCCCACCAAGCAGTCTTTTCCATTGACATGTATTATACTGAGACTTGCTGGAAAGCTGAAAATGGCCACATTCAAAACAGCTAAAACAAAAGACAGACCCATAGTCTGCCAGACTGCTGAAAAGCAGGTGTGTCCACATCAGTCCCTGAATACTTTTATAATGAATGTGACATCCTCTCTCAAAATCCAAATCAATGGCCAAGTTAGTTCATTGGCTTTGTTTTGCAAATCAGGTTACCAAAAGTTAATGTACACAAAAAGAAATGTAGACTCACCAGAGAAGGTAAATAAATAAATAAATCAAATGGTCTTTCACCTTTCCCCCTCTTCTCTCTTTCTCCAATTGGACAGAAAATATTATTTTCTGTGCAAAACCCTTCATTCACACTTGGGTTTAGCTCTAGCCATCCCTCCAACAGGCACAGAAGGAAACAGAAAAAAAAAACTCCCGAACTTAACTATTTGCACATTGTACTTGTATCACGGCAAAAATCAGAGAAGTATATTAAGCCACATCTATAATCATAAGCAGCAAGGTTTAAATGCTAGATTTGCTCTATTTGCAACAGAAAAACAAGCAATAAATGTCACAAAACTACGTCAGTTCAGATGCTCTTTCTGGTCTTCTAGTTCGGATATCAGTTCCACCACTACCTCTTGAAGAGAGAAAATTCCACACAAGACATCCTCACTAGGAATTCAAAACTGAGATGCATTTAAATCATCACTAACTAACCAAAGAGATTACTAATACACTGAAGTAAGCTTATTTTTAGTCTAAAAGTTTGTTGAAAGTATAACAAGCATTTTTTTCTTTCAAGAAAAGGGAAAACTGATAAAATCAGACGCTGAAAACAGTCAGTGACTTTCTAGTTATCTCCGACAAGCACAAACACAAAGGATTACCCTGACTGTTGAGGGCTCTAGGCACACACTACAGTAGCACCTGCTTCGTTGGTTTTCTACTTAAAAAGGGCAGGGAACAGCATGGAAGCAGTCAGCCTGCGCATGGGAAATGAGTGTAGTAGGAATATTTGGAAAAGTAACTCAGAAGGAAAGGAAAGGTTACAATCATGAGAGAAAAGCATTGGCCCTCATCTACAAAATAGAACTCCTGCTTTCTGATTTTATTCTTAGAATTTCTGGCAATGAACTACTGTAGTGAAACATCAATATATGGTGAACTCTATAAAGAAAACTGAAGTGGAAAATATGCCCTCACCTTAAAGACAAGAAATGAGGCAGGAAATCAAACCAATGGTCTGTTCAGCCCGACAGCTACAGTTTATGGATTAGGTTACTGAAGGTTACTTTTTTCCTGTAAAAGTAGTTATTGAAGAGATTACTGTCTATGTTGTCCAATATTAGTGCATAATTGAAGGAGGGACAGACAACAAGTACATATTACCTATGTTCTGTGGCGCGGGAGGTATACAAAGAAGCGTATGTTCAATTCTCAGAACATTAGGACGTTTCCACTGATACACTCATGAAGGTCATTTGCCACCTCTGAACACAGAATCACAGCTTTTCAAGATGAGCACTCAAAGACGTCTTTAAACATTTGAGGCTACAAACAAAATTCGTTTCTTAAAACCATTTACATTTACTAATTAAGCACACTAGTGATGGAAATCATGACCTTTATTAAAAAGCATCTGACATGAAGTTTTATAACTTACTGATCACTTCTGCGGTGATGAAAAATGACTGAAGTAGACATATAACCCTGTCATTAAATTTAAAATGGATAACACCTTGGTCAAAGGTATGTACAGCGTTGCTTTTCAGACTTCATTGTCTATTAACTCCTCATTTAAAGCAGTTATGACAGAGCTGTGGAACACAGGTGGAAGATGTAAATCAGAATCTAAAGTTTCTATTTTTATGTTTTCTGTGTATAACAATTACCATTCATTTTAGTCTTGTCAGGTGATTTACTCACAAATGGGTAATGCTCGTCAGACCAAAACTTGTAATTAATTCTGCTTTCAAAATTTCCCAACAATGAGACCAAAACCTTTGTCATTGAAATTTAATAGTTACACTTTTTAAAATCTAACCGGGGGGGGGGGGGGGGGGGGGGGGAAAAAAAGGGGGGAGGGGTAAGTTTTAAGATGCTTTGAAATGCATCTTGAAAACCACAGTGAAGAAAAACTAATAAAAACCAGAAAATAGTGTCCACCACATTCAAATAGAACATGATGAAGGAAAAAAAAACCACACCCACAAAAAAAATCACACCAACAAAAAAACCCCACAAACCTTTAAGAAAGCTGAAGCACGCTGCTGTGTAAAACAATTAATTTCTATTCTGCAAAGTGGAAGTCCCTTCGTGGTAATGTGAATCAGGAGTAAAGTATAGTAGACCTATTACGCTTCTTACTATGCATCTCACTGTATAAACTCAGCCATATTGAAACTCCCAATTTAAGAACACTCCATTAATACACTCTTGTACCTTACCTGTCAGCTTGGCATCGTAAAACTGCATTTGAAGACAAAAAATTTAATCTGCAGGCAACAAAACTTATACTGATTAAAAATTAAAGAATACAAAAAAACCTAAGAAATCATAGCACAAAACCAGTTTTCTTTTATTCTGTTACTTTTTCATACTAACAAAAAAGCCAAAATCAAGGTATTTGTAGGAATTTTAATTGACAGTTTTACAGAATAATCCTTAATAAATAATATCTTGAGCAGCACTCAAGACACCTCTTTGTGTGCTTCTTGGTTTTGTATTATACACAGATAGAAATTGCGTTAAGTTCTTTGTCTGTTCACTGTAATGCAAGGACCTGTCGCTTATCCTCCAGAATTTCTTCATCATCCTCCATTTGGCTTTCATTCCAGCCCCTTAAAAGAAACACACCACAGTGATTTTCAGCAGCTCAAATTCCTCAAGCTACTCTAGTTCAAGTCTTAGTGACGCATGTTCACATATGTAGAATTAAAAAGCATGAAAATAGCTTTTACTGTATATCCTGTAAGTATGTATACATTACAAGCTATTATGTCCTTTTTTCCCCCTCAGTTTCTGTCACATACTTTTCCACTTCTTAAACAAGTGGGAAGTAAATAACATTGTCACTACTGTGCCTTAATAGAGAAATCTCACATCCTAGAACAATTAAGCAATGAAAGTGGGGCTCATTTATACTTATTTGCAGTATTTGCAAGCATTGTTTACTTTTCTACTTGACCTGCAATTTCAATATTATGAACATTAAAAAAAAACAAACAACTAACAAACACCCCCACCCTCGCAACTCAAAAAAAACCCCACAAAACACCCAACCAAAACCACAAATTTCTGAATCAGCTATATTCACATAGCACATAGTTAACCCCATAGCATCTCACTTACCCTTACTAGTTACAAGATCAAAGTAAGAAACCAATGACAGAAAAACTTTAGGGACCTTCCTTCTTTTGAGCCATCTCCTTAGGCCCCACAGCAATGGAACAGATACATCGCACAGTACGGCGAGTTAAATGTTACTGGCTCATCTGTGTTCACAACTGCTCTTTATAAAGGTACATACAACCAAAGAACTTGAGTGACTTGTAATAGAGGTACTTTATAAATATCAGTGCTATATATTAACAAAAGCTAATATGTTTAAAAAAAAATAACCTCAAAAATCTATAGTTCGGTTTCTCAACAACAAAATATATCACTTATTTCTTAATCTGATCTGCCTGAAAGTACTGGCTGAGAACATCAAGATACAAAAGAGGCCATGCTGACATTTGTACTCGGCATGTAAAGTACAATCAGAAAGCCAAGACTGTTTTTATTTCAGTGCTGGCAAGATGTTTGGCATATTGAACATTTTATAATATCATAAAAACATACTGAGAAAGTTTAACTTACCTGAGAGTATCAACTCTGCTGTGGACTTTTAGCTCCAGGTTTTCACGGAAATCTGTAGTATTTCCACATATCCTCTCTGAGTGTCTGCTGGAGGAAGTTACATCTTCAGACGTTAAGCTGTAACGTTTTTCAGGATCTGAAATATTTTAGGTCATTTCAGGAACAAATATAAACAAAAAAGAATGCAGTATCTACACTAAGTTTTAAAGAATTTCATAGTATCAGCAAAAAATTGCCATTAAAAGTCTCAAAATTACTCTAGCTGATGAAAGATGTCACAAAAAGCCCTGAAATAAATTATGACTTTTTATTATATGGTACCTGTATCATTAGAAGTAATGGAGAGGATTTGCTTCTAAGACATTTATGCCAATACAACAAGAAATCTTACATGTAGGGCCCACTAATACCTATGTGACCTCAAAATACAGTCGCAAATGTAGAACTCAGGTAGCTGACTTATGGTAGTACATATTTAAAATGGACTAACATTATATATCCCACATGCACCGATCCAAAAAGATTACCGATGGTGGTCACAGTCTATGGTTCTTCTACAACACACATGCTACAACACGTTACTATTTTCCCTGTTAGCCATAGGTCTTTGCTATGAACTTCTAAATAAGTGAAAAGAATTTCAAGGAAGTCACATGAAAAGGTAGAGAAAGAATGGGACAGTTTAACAATGATTTCCCTCCCTATTCTCATCTGAGCATACTCAGATGTTCTTCAAGCATTAACAAGAGCTTCCAAACACAGAGGTTCTGATGAGTACATATCAGAAAAGGAGAGACAGCCGTCCTGAAATGTAGTATTAGGAAGCCTCAGAGAAGGCCTGTTTGAAAAAATACAGCATAACTTAAGCGATGAATATTTTAAAAGACAGAACACTCTGGAATCCGGGCTACTTTTGTTTACTGAAGATGCATCATAGGCAGGACCTGCCAACATAAAAGTACCATAGCAACTCAGAAGGGAGGGACCGTGTTACAGCCTAAGGGATGTCATCTAACAAGGCTGCTTATGGCACACAATCTCTCAGACACTTGGTCTATCTTCTCATTAAGATGGAACAGAAGCATCCAATCATTTTTTTCCAGTATTCAAAGAACAAAACCAGAACTCACTTATTCTGTTCAACCACAACCAAACGGCCCACTTGCCACCCCCACTCCTCCCAGAAAATGAGGATATGGGCTTAAAGAGACAGAGGAAAGGAGACTGAGTCAAACTCAAAACTAAAGGTAATACTATGTCTATTATGCCTTATTATTGACAGTTCTCACCAGGATAGATTACAAAATTTTCTGTCCATCTTTTCCACTTCTTGCTGCCCTTCCATCAAATTACATGTAGCTTCTACCAACATCTGGAGTGTTCATTATTAAATATCCAAAAAAAAGGATACTTATTTAAATGAAATTCATGATCTGACATAGTACCTAGCACACCCTGCAGACTTCTGCAACAAAAATGCAAGGGACAAAAACTTTAGAAAGTTGTGTGAAACAGTTTGTTTCTACTAAATAACGGGTAGGTTTACGTATGATTGAATGAAAATAAATCACTGTTCAACCACAGATGTCTTAAACATCAAATAGTTTAGCACATTTTTGCATCAAAATCAGTTAGATCTGAGAAGGTGATGAAAACAAGTAGCTATTTCATTTATGTTACTTGTAAACATGAGGGAAAAAAAAGCAGTATTGCCACTTACCTGTATAACTTAGTAACTCTTTTTCCAGGGTAAGCAGGGTTTCCTGGGCAGCAATATGTTCCCAAAGATACTCATCTTGTTCAGTTACATCAAGGCTCTTGTGTTCTGATATCTCAGCATTAACTCTCAATGTACGCATAGGAGGACTCTTTGGTCTTGGCTGAGCGTTTGTTGGATAGTTCCCAGTCAGTTTACGGCGTAGCGTATTTGTGGATCGAGGTCTTCTACAATCATTCCCTGAAGTAACAGAGAAAGTCACAACTTTTAATAATTGAAGATTTCAGGCATAAAGAGAATTTTATCTTAGCTCATTAATGACATTAATTTTAGTTGCAATTATGAATTTATCTGAACAGATTATCAATTTTTCTTAAGATTGTGAAAAATAAACGTTAACAAAGAGGTTACAATTATTGGGAAGCAGCACTTCACAGTTCACGGGTATCTTCCAGAAAAAAAATATTTGATTTAAATATTTTGTATAATCGCACAGATTTTGAGAGAGGTGAGACTGAGAATGTGTGTAGAAAGCTTAAATCTTTGGTTCTGTCCTTTTTTTTTTTTAATTTAGCAACATGAATGAAATATGTACACTTTAAAATAATTTTCTGGGACTCAAAATTGACAGTTTCAATTTCTGCACATAGTGTTTTTAAGATTAAAATGCCAGACTGGTTGTTTTAGATGAGAAAAATAATGTAAGCTACATTTCTTGAGATGGAGACAGTTGAAATTGAGAAAAGTAACTAAAAAGCACAGGTGCAGTTATGCATTACTTGTATTCTTATTTCTGATAGTTAATGTAATAAAACTTATTTCAGTACCATTAAGAAATCTTTTATTAGATCAAAACCATGTACTAGATGCTGCAAAACTCACAGTAATACATCATCTAAGAGTGGAGTAATAGGGTAGAGGCAGGAGCAGAAACTAAGCATAATAAAAAGAATTATTAGTGACAGCTGTAAAGAGCATTTTTAACTCAGAAGCCCATTCTTACAAAAACAATGCCAAGTATATAAGCCAGTATACGCAGAATACAACTACATTCAACCGAATAATCACAAGAGAGTGCTTCTACTTTCTACATAAGAGAAATTAACCTGTTTCAGTAGGACCTCAAAGCTGTTGCCATCCTTACCTGGGTGTGACCTCCACGCTACCGTTAGGGGAGAAATTCTACCTTGAGTTTCCAAAGCACTTGAAGATCTATTCAGGTGACTTTCTAAGACAGAGTCATCAGCATATTCACTTAAGCTCCTTTCAGTAACCCACTTTCCATTTCCTGAAATTAAAAATTAATAGAAGAAATTATTTGCAGGCTTTGTGTTAATATGCATTTACTGTTACTATATTTGCCGCATTTAATGTGTGCGTGATTTAAAGAAGTCATGCAACAAGTTTTCTACACAATGTAAAAAACAATCATCTATAACACACTATCAAAATTAAATTCAAGTGATATACATCAAACTAATGTTCATCAAAATTTTCACTTTTTTTGAATACACCACTAAAAACAAAGGCATAACAGCTTTATTTTTTTGTGATGTACTTTATGCACACAAAAAAAAGCAAGAATTCCTACTGGAACCAAATTCTCAGGGGACATAAAGCAGCACATAAATCTATGGCGTTATATTGATGTAAAATATCTCAAGGTACCGAGTTTATTTTATCCTTCCACAGCACCAGTTGTGTGTGTTAGCATGTCTGTTACCCTGAAGTGACTTCTAAATGTAAGCTAGATCTAAGTTACATGAAGAGAAGGATGTCTTACAGCAACAGTGATAAATATGTATATTCTTTGAGGATTTTATTCATATGCCAATACCTGGAAACAGGTCAGTACTATCCATAGGGCTAGAGTCAGCACACAGTGAAGAACGTGCTTCAAGCACCCCTTGTTTAGGGGATGCACCCACAACAAAGAAACCTTCAAGTCCCCAGTACTGTGTAGAAACAGAATTCTGTCTTTTGGCTATAACCTGTAACTTGAATAAAACACAAAGATATTACAAACAGGAAACTTCATAAATTGTCCTTGCAAGTTTATATTACTAAAATGCTCATTTCATAAAACGTGGGATGATTCTGATAGCCTGGTATAATAGATATTCATAAGGATAATATAAGCTTTAAAATCCTATAAACTTCCATTGCTAGTGTGAGAATTTGAGTCTATTTTTCCAGTGATTGACTGTGGACGTGAAAAGCAGTTTTTCTTCGTTTGTTTTCACTTATCTTTGTGTGCATCAACTAAAGCAATACTGTTTAATAATGACTCCAAATCTAATGTCTCAACCTGTGATTTTTTTTGCTTTCAGTTTTATTTTCAGCAAAAGAATATTTGAATAATTGATGTTAGATAAGAGTATCTACAATTTTTGGCATTCAATCGAGGTGTGAAGTGACCTTGATACAAACATCAGAAAAGCTGCCTTTTCTCTCAACACATCTTTTTTTTTGTCTTTGTCTGAGAATAGTTTGTTCTTTCTTTTGCTTTTTTTGAACATCAACAGAAGACTGACACTATAAAGTGAAAAGCACAGAGACCTTCATCTCCTGCATATGAAATATGGTAGGCAGTGATGACCCTCTGATTAAAACTGTATTCTTGACTGCTTTGTGGAAAGCAGGGGGATGGTCTGGAGGAGAATGGGGAAAAGTGATAGAATATTTCATGGTAACTATACAACTATCACTCTCTCTCAACTGGTTCAGCAACATAGTGTGTTGCCTTATGCTAAACTGGGAAAGTAGATTATGCAACAGTTTCTCTAGTTAGCAGTCAAAGATAAAATATTTTACCACTGAGGACTCTGTAATTGCAGGTGAAAAACTCTGGCTATGGCAGACACTGTCCGGTTCTCGTGAATCTTCACTGGTTTTTTGCAGCTGTGTCTCAAGGAGGTATTTGCTGCTCATTTCAGTAGGGTTAGAATTCTTCACAGGTAGTTTACAGGAGCTAAATGATCTTCCCATAGCCTTTACTTTCATACACTCCTTTTGCACCGCATTTCTTTCAAGACTGCAGGAAAGCATTTTTTCTACAAGAGTACAACAAAATCATGAAAATAGGAATTTTTTTTAACAGAAATGAGTATTAACTATAATCTGCAAGTCTACTATATTTTCTTCATTAACTGAAAATATGAAACCTCCATTGAAGTTATGCCTAAGCCACAAAATTACACATAAGAACAGTTAGCTTTCATCAGTTTCCTGTTTGATATCCCGAGATGCCAACATACACAGACTAGACTTAGCATGTAGCAGTACCAGTTGGGTATCTAATACATATGTTCATCATTGTCTGTGAAAACATTAAATCTTAATAATAATTGTAACACATTTCCAACTATTTCTTCATGCTAATGTAATTTTTTATATTTAGAATGCTGTAATCTAACCAGTGCCAGGGTAAGACCTGCAATAGTAGGAACTTAAAAAATTTCCTTAAAAGTAGTACAGTAGTTTGAAATAAATACTATGAGGCTATGAATGATCCTGTGAGCTGTTTTTCTTTATTTAGACAAGATACAGCTATTTTACTTTTTATCTTGTGCCCAAAGAAGCACAAAAATCACATCTCATTAGTCACCTCTTGTTTGCTTTTTCACATTTGAAGACTTAAATAAGCAGCTTCTTGAACTAAGCACAAAAGGAACACGTGCTAGGTTCTGAAGTGCTGGAGCAATTGTTTGGTACTTACAAGAATAAGAAATTCAGTACCTTTAGATTCCAACTTATTGCTTAATATTAAAAAGTGATAATATATTTTACATAGTTTTGGGACACAGAGTAAGATCTTTGGGACCCCTTAAGAGTCATGCAACAGACACGAATATTTACACACAAGCTATGATCTTTCATGCAAAACAGGTAATAATTTATACAATTTCTCAACCTATGTATATAGAAGCATTTTTCTACATAAAAAGGACACATGCCACACATTACATCTAACAACATACAGATAAACTGAGAGATTTGTAAGACCACTCCATCTGCTTTATAATGGGCTTGTTTTCAGTATACAACTCATATCTGGGCAGTCTCCCTCAAATGCAGGTTCACAGCTGTGATATTACTGTCACAGTGGATGTCTATAATTTCAAAATAGCTTGACCAGTCCATGAAATTGTGGTTAAGGGACCTGCATAGCCCAGGGAATGGTACATAATTTAACAATCTTTAATTATTTTTTCAGACAACCCTTATAGTTGACTACCACATCCTATAAGAGAACGATAAAACTGTATACACTTACGTATATTGTAAAAATAACTTTCAAAATTTACCTTGAGAAACTTCTTTATAAGAAACAGAACTTCTGTCAAAAGGAAGAGGTAAAAAATATTGAGTGTCAGCTATGGATGTTAAATGACAAGATGACTTTCTCATTATGCCTACAGTTTTTCTAGGCAAAATGTCTGGTACTGTGTTGTTCTGATCTGCAACTGCTGAA